GTTGGTGCTAATCTGTTTATATTTTCTTCACATTTCTGTTGTGTTACATTTTTTCTGAGCTGCTATATCTACAAATGGAAAGCATTTTACTTACGAAGAGGAAACTTGGCATGCTATGAATTCTGTGACAGTGAGTTTCCAGCCTGTGATCTGGGTAGTTTTGTTGCTTTGCCATGAGCAATGAAGAGTGAAAGAGGAGTGTTCTCTGAAGGATGTCTGCTTCATGGTCTAGGTCACTGGGCAGGAGTGACTTCTACCATGTTGTCTGTGTCTTCATAGTTAGGAGTATGAGGTGTGCCTCAAGGCTGGGTTTCTAGCTTTGCTATGGAAGTTGCCAGAGAGAGAGAAAGTTCTCATGTGCTTCTTTTGCTCGTAAAGCAATGTGCAGTGATTTCCCCTCAAAAGACTGTAGGAGTGCAGTCACCTGAAAGGCGAGAACGCTTACTTGCAATGTCCTGTTTTCCACCTGAGGGACACTGCATTTGTGTGCTGTGCTTATGACTGAGCACTCTCATATTGGTTTATTCCTCCTAATTACAAGATGGGGAGCACACGAATGTCAGAGAGAAACCCTCTGCATCTGTTCCAGCATTGTGCACTGACAAGATTGCTTGACTGAGTTGGCGGTTCTGTGCTAGTTGTTCACTATATCAAAAATGAATGTTGCTCATAATTCTACTATGTTGAGGGCTGGTGGGTTTGTTTCATTTTGGTTGGTTGTTTTTTTAGTTTGTTTGGGTGTTGCTTTTTATTTTTTAAATGAATGGTAAGAGAGTTGGCATAGAAAGGACAAGATTCTACAAACTGGTGTAGTATGGAGCTCTTGCCAAAACCCAGCGATATGCATGGGGTGAAGTCTGCCCAGTACCTGTGAAGTTACCTTGTCCTTACAGGGCAGAGAGGGTTCCAGATTTTTTTGAGTGTGGTGGAAATGTGTAGGATCACCTTTTTTTTTTTTTTTTTTGGTGTTAGACCTTATCTGAGGAAAGCCAATCTCTGCATAGCGTTGCTATGAGGGTGGAAGTCCCAGGACCCCTTTAGTTTGAAATGCAGATCATGTTTTTTCATCATGGGATTGCAAAGTCTAAATCGCATCCTATTGCTTGGTAGTTACACATTAATAAAATATAAGTCCAAAGGGCTTGTGTTGCCTTGTCTTGAAGTTCTTAATCTGGTAAAACTTTTCTTCATTTCTGTTGTATTTGTTCTACATTCTGTACTACAGAAATGCTGGTCTTTTTGGTCAGTTTGCTGCTTGTTTTTCCTTTTCTGTCTTGGGAAGACTGATGCTATTACTGAGGACAGTGCTGGTAAGTTATGTATGTGTTCTGCCTAGTTATTTCATGGCTATATGCATTTTTCAGCATACAGTAAAGTGAGATGAACTACTTCAAGCCTTGGTAAAACACACTATACATTGGTGCATTAGAATCAGCTGCTTATTTTTACTCTGTCTCCTTATCAAGGGCTGGATTGAAGCATTCCTGTAGCTGTGAGTGAATCATAGCTTTGAAGTGTTCCCCCTTGTAACTCCATCAGCAGACTAATAGCAGGTAGGGGAGCCTAACAGATAGGTCAATTCTGAGCACAGTGAAGGATGCCTGTGGAAAAAAAAAATTGCTGTTGAGCTAAGTTTAGTTAGAATTTAGCTCATACTGAATCATGGTACAGAACTTTTTTATAGTATATTGTGTTTATAGCGTGGAAAGTACCCGTGCTTAAAACAGGCTCTTAAATCACACACTTTGTGCATTATTTTAGTAGGGGAACAACAGGGCTTTTATGATGGGGTGCTTTTGTATTGTCATTTATAACCATCGTAGCTCTGACAGTGAAAGCTGAATTGTTGTTCTGACTCGCAGTCAATGGTATTAACAGGCTTCTCGGCACCTTCTGACTGCAGTCGCTGGAGCCCCTCAGAAAGCAGCTGCTCATGCAGAGCCAGGGCAGATTTAGAGCTGCGGGTTTCAGTCTGCCATTCATGGAGCTGCTTCCTACTGCAGAGATGGTTCAGCAAGTTGGCCGGGAATTGCAGATCTGTGCCACGTATCGCTCTGCAAATGCGGGCTTTAAAGGGATCTGCTTCCACTGAAGGAGTTTGAAATCTGTCATTTGGAAAATATTGAAAACCAGGCATTTAAAGCAGTCTCAGTGTTTCAAGAGGACGTGTAGTCGCTGTTGTGGAAAAGTTCGTATGAGGTCACCTGAACTGTTGCTAGGTTAGAGAGGCTGTAGTGAAAGAAAGGGAGGATTGTAGTATCTAAAAGGCCCTGACTGTATAATGCTGGAAAGAATACACATTGTTACGTATTTTATGGAGGTAAAGTGAATGTCACTGGTCAATGAACAGCTGATGCTTCTGATGGTATGATGCCTGATCTCCTGACACACCGCCTCGCCCCCCGAGCAGTGTTGTACAGGGTCTGTAACCGCAGAATTGGCTGTGAAGAGCACTTAGGAAGTGGCCAAATAAAAATCGCACTCCCATTTCAGAGCTATAAATTGGTATTAAGGTGTCTGACCTTGTTTGTTCCTTCAGAAAACCAGACGCAGTTTTATGTTATTGCTAGGGAACAAACATGTTTGCAGCATACTCGCAATTTACTTCCACCTCCTTCATCAGCTTCAAAACTCAGTCATTCTTCACTTTACTTCTCCCCTGAAGTTGCAAGTCTCTTCAGTTTCAGCTGGTTTCATTTTCATGTTTATTTTATTGCCATTGCTTTGTTTCCTCTGTTTGCTGTGAGATCTTGAATTTACAAGTCCAGGTAAATCATAATTAAAAAAAACCCTAGTTCTGCCAGGCTCAGGACACTTGGCTGCTGCTTTTCTTCCCACTCCCTTTAGTACTTTGTATTAGACATTGTCCCCCACATTATAGAACAAGCTTTAAAACCAAAAAGTAAAAGCTTCTTTTAAGAAACAAGTTGATGTGAATCTCTGTAGCTACTTATATTGATGCAGTTGATGTTATGGAGGGCAATAATTCCATCATTTGTAAATTGATCTGAAGTACTTAGATGTTGCACTACATGATTGTAAAGCTACGTTGGCATGATCTGGATTTATGCAAAACTCCCAAGTCATTTCACCACCTGCTTACAAATAATGACTGAAGCTAAATGTAAAGGGATCTGAGTAGAAGATGAATCCCAATTTCTTTTTTTTTTTCTTTTAAAGGCAAGTAAATAAATTAAGAGTCTGGTTCATGAACATATACAAAGTCAAAGTAGTTTGACAAACAATAAAGCCTTGAACTTTTTATCGTTACCTCCGTGGGGAGGAGCGGAGGAGCTGCAGGTTAAGTGACTGATGACTGCATGACTCATTCGGTGTATGTAGGATGAAAAGTGAATGTTCAGGGAAAATTTCCAGTGGAAGAGAAACTGCTATATGCTAGTAAAGAAGGCACTAGCTCTCCCTGCATATTTGTAGGAAGTGCTATTTGTTACGCACACAGGAAACGAAGTACCTGCATTACTGCAAATTTTAGAGTGTCCTGTTGAGGTCTTACTGAAATGTGAATTTTCAGGCCACTGTAGTGATTTTTTGCAAGTAGAGACCTGTCATAGAAATTGTTGGTCGAGTGCAAATACTGGTTAAAAAGTGTAGAGGATTTGGATTGTTTCTGAACTATTTTTTTGTGATGTGATGTAGCTCTTACTTTTTTTTCTCTGCCAAGAGCTTACTTACATTGGTAATCCAAACTGTATGTTTAGCCTTTTTTAGTCTTTTTATCTGTGAGAATACACGTTGTCTCTGATTAAAGAAGAGTTTGCTTTGGTATTAATCCTGTTCAGTTTTTAGGTGTGTTTTGGGGGTTTTGTTTTGTTTTTTCCCCGTAAACACAGTTTTGGCCTTGGCTGATTCAAGCACTGAGCTTGGCAGGCTTTTCAGGGTTAGAGTGCTTTTTCTGTGCTTTTCTTTTCTGGACCTCAGTTTATGTTGTTCAAAGGGTGAAAATGATGTGCAGAATCATAATCTCTTCTCTTTCTACACCCAAAAACCAGGCAGATTAAAAAATGCAGGCACTAAGCCTGGGTAATAATTTCTCAGTAAATATTTTACTGCTTTTTCCATCTGTTACACTAAAACTAGGCATAAATGTAGTCAGAAGAGGTCACTGGGATATTAATCATCAGAATTAATCCTCTTGGACATGTGCTTGGGATGAAGCCAGCTATTCAGAAGTTTAGCAGCGCCCATATGTTGCTTATCCATCTGGCAACTGGTCAGTGAAGTAAACTTCGAGTTTGTAGTGGTTTTATGTCTCTGTAAACTACACTGCTGTTTGGTGGAAGTTGGTGCAGCTTTTCTGTACATCGCCTATGGCACATAGCCTGCTGCTGAAGGATGGGTCCTCTTCAGGGTGCTATCAAAAAGCTGTAGTCTCTTAGCTTTGCATGTTAAGAAGTGGCATCATTCATGGTTGACCTTTTCCTGGTGCTTCCCTATGAGGTATGATGAGCCAAATTTAATACTACTTACTCAGAGCAAAGGAAGAGACAATATTTCAAGTAGACTAATACTGTGGAACCCAAATGTAGCTGAATGAAACATCACCCTGCCTCTGCTCCTGCCGTTCTGGCTCGGAGAAAACATTCATTTACGTAAATACAGCTCTTTCTTGAGTCAGGTCTGGACTGGACCCAGTATTTCTGTTTCTCTCTTCATAGGAGCATGCTTCATACTCAACAGAATAATGATTATTTCATATCCTAATTATGGAACTGATTCATTCCCGGGGGCATGGAGAACAAACAGTAGGAGTACATGCATCATTAAAAAATTAGCGTATTTTTAGAGAGGAAGTAAAAATAAAATGTGTCTTCATTGAAAAGTTTAATGATAAAGAAGAATGGCTTGCATTAGAGGAACTTTTTAAAACAATCTGAGATTATGGCTGAAAGCTGAAAGAACATGTTCTCTTCCTAATGTGTTTATACTTTGCTTGTGAGAAATTGTGAATTTTCTTCCTGTCTTTATTTCTCAAGGAGAAGAATGAAAGCTCGTGCTCCTCCTCCACCAAATCAAGCTTCTGCAGCAAGTAGAATTCACAGTGAGCACAAGTCACCTGCAGAGACAGCTGTAATTTCTGATCAGAACCTTGTGAGCATGAAGGAGAACATGATAAACAGATCGGTGGACTTCACGGTCGTTTTACCCAGTGGGGTGGAGCAGAAGAGCACAGTACAAGGAAGGTAAGGCTTTGATTAGCTCCTGCTTTCAGGAGCCATCCATTCCCGGTGGGATACTTGCTTATACTAATGCCTCCCTTTCTGGGGTTGATGGGGTTTCTCCGCCGTGCTTCCCTCTGCATTTTAGGCAGCTGTTGTACCAGAGAGTGCTGAGAACCATGTATAAAGGACCCTCCCTGCTGGGGCAGGAAGGATTGAGCAGCTACTGTGTCACTGTTTTCCCCATGGATCACCCTCAGCACGCGCATGGATCTGTCTCTTCCAAGCAGTGCCACTGGGCTAGCCTTAGGTTGTATCGCATCCCGTCGTGAGGAGGGGGTTTGGTGCAGTGGGAGCAGGCGCTGCTGGCACGCAGAAGTCCTGATGGTGTGCCTGTCCGGAGCCATGCCGAGAGGGACACTCAGAAGATGAATGATTCATCACATTCTGAGATCCTGCCTTCACAAATACATTGTGATTGTGTAGACAGCAAGGCACCTGCTGATATTTAGGAAGTGTTTTCTATATAAAAGTGTATTTTTTTTTGCTGAGGGAAGAGAGAGAAGTTCTCCTTGTCACTGTGTACAGTCAAAGGCAAGTTGTATCGGAAAGGCAGTTTTGAGATGATTTTCTTCATCATGGGAGCTCTTCCTTCTCCTCATCCTCTCTGTGAGAACTGTTTTGAAAGAGGGAAACTTAGTACTTCAAGACAGAATTTGGAAGAGTTTAGAAAACGTAATCAGTTCCGTGCTGAAACTGTAGCAAACAATTGTGTGGACAGCAGTGGTCAAGAAACTGTAGAAAGTGATAATACCAGATTAGGAGGTTATGTAGATGCCTATTGATAAATCGGGGCCTGTGCTTATTTTACATTCAGGGTTTGCAGTAGTTAGTCTGCATTCCTGTAAAACTACTCTTCTTGTCCTGGTACATTAGTCTATTTTGACTGTCTATTAGCGTGTTTTGGTGGCTGAGGAGGGTGTGTACAGCAGCGCATAGTGTCTGGTACTTCATTCTTCACCCTGCTTTTCTTGTAGAAATTAGTGTTCGCTTAGCCACTCTGAGGAGAGGAGTGCAACTTGTGTGGGTCAGCCCCAAAGCCGGAATGATGTTAAAGAATTTAAAGGAAAGCAGTGTCTACGAGAGCTCTCAAGTTATATGTTTAGTTATCAAGTTTTTATGGGGAGATTTGGACTTAAAGAGCAGAACAGGTCTGGAAAGTAGAACAGGGCATGAAACTCAGTGGCCATTAGATCCCAAAGAAAGATGGTGTTCCACTGGCAAATGCGAGCCACCTGGCAGCTAACAAGAGGCTAATCTTCATGCAGCATTTTGTATAGGGAGATACAGAATTGCCATGTGGTTAGAAAAGATTTTCTTTTCTCTCAAAAAAACCCAAATGCAAAATAAACACTCCAAGAGCACTACAAGAGTAGTGTTTTAATGTGACCTTTTGAGGAACATACAAGCTACAGGAGAGGGGAACAAATGGAAAATCTTTGTACAATCAACATTCTGTCTCTTCACAGGTGTTTATTATGACTACCATTGCTATCACATACATTGAAACTGAGTATTATTATTATTAGGGTCTTTAATTTGTGGACTGAAACCTGGAAGAAATGTTGAAAACGTTTCTGTGGGGTTATTTGTATTGTCCACGTTGAGCACTCTAAGCAACCAAAATCACAGAATCACACGGAATTATTTAGGTTGGAAAAGACCTTTAAGATCATCGTGTCCAACCCATACAGCCTCCCAGCGGGGACGAAGCCGAGCGCCAAGCCGGGCAAGTTCTGCCTCTGCGTGAAAGTCTCTTTCTTCTCTGTGCACACCCCAGGCAATCCTTGCTCTGAGCCTCTGGGCACAGGAGGGAGCAAACCAGGGCAAAGCACCTGACTTCAACCACTGAAAATGCCCCCGGCCCCTCTGAAACCATGTGTTGGTGTGTGAGTGTGTGCAGTAATCACACCTAAAGTAGCATCTTCTGCTACGTGGCTGTTAGTGTCACAGCAAGGATTCCTGGTTATAGACTCTGTACACATCATGCTAGTATTTGTCACTCTGAGCCATATAGCCACCACTTTCCCAGCTTTACACACAAATAATGGAGGTCTTCAGTAGTGCGGAGCACTGTTTCGTGGACTTGCCATAGTGTTGGTGCAGAGCCTGCAGTCTGTGTGGTCAGGGTTATGCACGCACCTTCATTCTCTTCGCTGTTCTGTGGAGGTCCCCACTTCTCTCCATGGGCTGCGTGAAAGGTCTAGGCCCCTGATTTAGATGGCAATTAAATTCCTGCTTGTGCTAATCTGTTAATGTGAATATCACCAGTGCCTAACACATAAGTAGTAGGTGTTCTCCCTTCTTGAGTACTTGGAGTGGAGAGTTACTGACAAATGTCAGGCACTGATAGCTAGCTGTGGCAGCTAAAAGATTATGGAAACTGAGGAGGGGAGTAAATCATCCTAACAAGTTGTGAAAGAAGAAAGGAGTACCCTGTATTACAGTGGTACAAGTCTGTGAACAGACCTTGTGTGTGCTGGTGTTCTTTCTGACTACTAGAAGATGAAATTTTCTGGGAGGTGGAATTAAAAAAAAAAAAAAAAAAAAAAGTCAAGAACTACTGAAATTTTTAGGGGCTGGACTGTCTTAAGTCTCCAGGTTTGGGTGAAAGCCCAGGCTTTTTCATCTTTTTGCATTGTTTTGGCATTGTGAACTAGACAGCTACAAAATACAGTGATACTTAGAGGCAAACGTTTAATGATGAAGATGCTGGATTAAAAAAAAAAAAAACAGTGGTTTTGTTTAGTTTGAAGCAAGTATGGGAGCCGATCCAGGTAAGAAGTTCTTTTCTCTGTTCACTGTTTTTATCTATGGTGATATCATGGAAGGATATTTCAGACAAATTCTGCTCTTGTTTGTACTGCCATAAATCTTCAGCATTTTCACTGCCAACATTAAAACTGCATTCTGCAAAATCTGCCTTTGGGTACCCTGGGGAAATAGTTTTTCTGTTGCAGAAGAATTTGCAAAACCTTGCCCTGGGCATCATCATAATGAAAAGTCTTTCTGTAATTTCAGGAAAGGAGTTCACAGAGCAATGAAGTACACTGGAGGAAGTTTGAAAATATAACTACTGTAGCAAATTAGTATCACTTAAGGTTATTATAAATGAACCAAGTTAGATGTCAAAATCTTCAATTTGTTCATGGTAAGCAAAGCAGCATGTTGCTTCTCTATATGTAGAAAGTTCCTACAAATATCAGCAAGACAGCAGAAAATTCTAGTTAAATTTTCTTGAAAGATAGCTCAACAAAAAAAAGTGTGAGCTATTTAAAGGTATTTTATTGGAATCTGGAATTTTTAAGTAGATTTATTTATGAAAGTTAACTCAAACTGGCAGTCTTCCTTTAAGAGTTTATTGCCATCTTGTAACACAGTTTATTCCAGATTTTGAAAAAAAAGTAGTGCAGAATTTAGGACCAAGTGGAGTCCTTAAGGAGTGTGTGCAGCAATAGAATAGTAGTAAAAAAACAGTTTTCTTTTTTGAAATCGTTGGTCCTTGTGAACTATACTGTAAAACATGTAAAAGTATTCATGAAAAACCGTTAGGCTTCTCCCCCCTGAAAAGGATTATAAAATACGCCCACATCTAATCTGTATTTGTACTGTTATGTGAGCACTAACTGATGTGCTGAAAAGGTAGGCAGAGCGTTGGCCACTTACACATTTTATCCATATAGTTCTGTGGCAGATCCACACAAACTGTTATCAGGTCTGACAGAGGCAATGGCTAGATATTTAGAAAGAAGTGGAAAATCTCACGAGTTACCACAAACCTTCTCTGTTTGATTCTCACAGGTAACGCTTTCAGTGGGTAACCTATAAATAAAGGGATCGTGCGTCTGTCTCCATTCACACTGCGTGATGCTGAGGAGGACTTCCTGATTAACACAGATACAGACGTTTAGTGTCAGCAGCTTGAGAAGTCAGTAGTATGTGACATACATTGCAGAAAAACAGGGATGTTTCAGCTAAATGACATTTGGTTTGGAGTTGTCAGCACGTGGATGACTGATATGCAGAAGAGTACACTGGACAGTTGTTGCTCCTGGTGTTGTCTTAGAGGGTTACACAAATTCTCTTGTACATCTGATGCACAGACAGCAGGATACTAGAGCAAATAATAAACTAGCTGAATCTGTAGTCCCGTTCTGCAAATACTGAAGGACAGAGCTCAGTGCAGAGTTACATTATATAGAGCAGAAAGCTAATGTCACCACAGAAAGAATATTCTCACATAATTCTCAGTGAAAGACACTCAAGTGATGCTAATTGTGGGCTTATAGATCATCATACAGAACGATGTCTCGGAAAAGTCTGAAAGTGTGAGGTCAGCCCGGGTTGGTAAAACACAGAATCACAGAATGGTAGGGGTTGGAAGGGAGCTCTGTGGGTCATCTAGTCCAACCCTCCTGCCGAACACGAAAGAGGTGTTGTTAGAAGATGATGAACAGGGCACATACAGAAAAAGGTTAAAAGTGAGCTTTACTAAATAGAGTTCAGGACAAAACTACAGTACTTCAATGCATCCTTAAAAAAAAAAATCTTACTAGAACAATTTACAGAACAATTTATGTTGGAAGGTACCACTGGAACTCACTTGCTGTAACTCCCTGCTCGGTGCAGGTCTCGCGGGAGCAGGTTGCTCCGGGCTGTCTCCAGTTTGACTGTCTCCAGGGAGGAGGTTTCTGAATCCCTCTCTCTGTACCTCTGTTCCAGGGCTTGACCATCCTTGTGGTGAAAAAATGTTTCCTTGTACCTAAATGGAGTTTCCTATGTTGGCACTTGTCTCTTGCCTCTTGTGCTCTTGCTTTCAGTGCCGAGAAGAGTCTGGCTCTGTAACCCTACCGGTTGGTACTTACAGACAACAACAAGATCTCCTTTCACCCTTCTCGTCTTAAGGCTCAATAAACTCCATCCTCTGCTACTTCTTGGGTGTCATCTTGATGTTCTTTTTGTGGACTTGCTCAGTTATAGCAAAAAAGAGCCAAATATCTATGAGTGAAATAAGAAATAGAAAGCATTTATGAGTATCTGTTTATCATGCTTTCTGTACTTCTGTTGATGCAGCTTGCTGTTTAGTGTATACATTTCTGGTTTTGTAGAAAAACTTCTGGGCTTTTCGTGAAGTACCTGCTGTGCTTTGGAGCAGGTGAAAAGAATAATGACTAACTCTATTTTCTGTTTTTAAATGCAGATAGTGAAAGCGTCAGAGGCTTCAGGTCATCCCCTTTACACTACTGTGTTTCTTTTCCCATCAGTTGCCGCTTTAGATTCCCAGTGTGTGCTTGGCATTGACCTAAATAAAGAAGATTCTTTCATCCAGTTTGAGATATTTTTTTTTTATGGGCATTTGTACCATGAAAGTAGAAAGTGATAGGAAAGTCAGTGTCATTATTTGATAGAGTACAACTTTATCCTACAAATCTATTTCCTAGATATACAAGGCTGTATTTTAAAATGGATTTCTCTGTGTGATCCAAGGAGATTAGGCCAAGCCATGCCCTAGACAACTCAGTTATTTGCTGCCTCTTAGGCTATAGACGTCTTTGCTGCATTTTACTGGTGAAAAACAGGACACAAGTGGTCTGACATGCTCAAATTTGATCAGGACTTCAGCCCGATAATTATTGCTGACGAAATTATTCTTTACTGTCCAGAATTGGTGCTGAATGTCGAACAGCTTAGTAATAGAATATCAGGACAGAGCTGAAGTATTCTCCTTCGCTAAGAATAGTTGTATGGACTGTCTTGTCTGAATCTTAAATTGGGTTTATCCTCCAGTTTTATTTCTGTGCTGTAGTGTTTGCTTATCAGTCATTAATGTTTACTGTCTGTCACATAGTGTTTGGTCTCTCTACACAAAATTTCGGTAACATCTTACTAAAATAAGAAAGTAATGTGTTCCTTAGCTGAGTAGTTGGAAAGGCAGGAGACATTTAACTTCTTCATTTCAGCTTTAGACTTAATCTTTTGTGGTCAGACCTGCCCGAATTTCAAACTAGAGTATGCTTTATACCAGGTCTCAAAAGCAGCTGAAAACAAAGTGCAGATATGTCTGGAATGAGGCAGAATCAAAGAAAGAACTGACTCTTTGCATTTTCCAAGAGCCAAATTCAGCCGAAGGTTAGAAAGAAAAGTTCATCTAAGTTAATAGATGGCTCAGTACCATTGTATTGCTGTGTTTAGTGGCTCTTTTCTGTATGTGGCATATACATGGGGTTACATGAAATAAAACTCCCAAGCTGAACTGTATTACAGTTTCGAAGGAAAAATTTTCAAGTTGGTGAAATTGGAATCTGGTATGAGAGAAACTCCATTGCAAGGACTTCCCAGCTCTCTTACTTCTCTGGAAACATGAATTTTAAGTTTTGTAGAATTCCTGGGTTTGGGTTTTTTTTTTTTTTTGCTTCTTTTGAAGTTTTGTGGAAATTATTTTCCCAAATTTACCTTTTGGGAAGAGCATACTATTCACTTCGAAGTAGTTTCAAACGCTTCAGAGATATTGCTCAGTTTGTACTCCTGAGCGGTACAGGTGAAGCCTGGGGATGCTTTTCATGGAATAGTTGTGTATTCTGAGCAGCATGGCTCAAGATGGGATGTTGCAGACTTCCTATTTAACACACACCTGCTCTGTAATCAACAGGAAGACGAAACCTCAAATTTGGCTGGATTTTTAAATTGTTCATTGTCTGGATAAATTTGTTGAACTAGCATGATTGTCTTTAACCTGTTTTCTTGGATGGCTGATGTGGGTTCTAATCTTGTTGCAGTTAAGGTGCTGTTGCTGCAGAACATATTTCATAATTTCACAGCATGGAATCATAAACTGTTCTTTTGCTGAACTATATTTTTTAAAAAAATCCTTTTTAAAGTGCTGTTCTGTTTTTGAAGTGTTTTTAATGGAACAGTTTACATGAGGTAAGATAACTGTCCAAATTTGAATGAATTATCACAATATTACAGAAATCTGTTAGCATTCCACTTTAAATAGAAATGTCTAGCACATAGAACACCGTGTACTGCGGTTCTGCCGGGTTATTTGCTTTTCTCTAAAACAATAGTAATAAAGCTGAGGGGGGGGAAAAACACATGCAAATTTTACTTCAAAAGAAATATGTCTGTAAACAGACAAGCTGAGATCTGTATCAGGCAGACTGACACTTTTTTACATGCTCACTTCTGCACAGCAAAATGAATATGCATGTAAATGTCAGAGCAGGTGGGGTTCTGCTATAGTTCGGACTGAGTAGGTGTAAAGGTTTCTGCTGGTTTGTGGTGCATTACATGTGAATTGAACATGGTTGTGAAATACAGACGTTTGCAGCTTCGGGACAGTGGCAGAATAAGTCATCGTGAAATGACCTGATACAGTTTCGATTTAGATACTACGTGTTTTCATTTAGATGCTCTCGATGTTAGCAGTTACCACAGTGCTCGATTTTTCTGAAGTCTTGTGTACATATTAATGACAGCTATTTTCCTTGTTTGATCTTAGTCATCATCGTCTCACTGTGTTCTTCTCTTTTCAGTGCGATCACCAATGTCAGGTTTTCCATGCTTGCCACTTTTTCAGCTCACACTGCCTAACTTAGTTAAACCTGAAGTAGGTTACTGTGGAGAAGGTCCTTTGTCTTGCATGGGAGGAGCTGTCACCTACGTATGTTTTAGTCTTTTACCTGTTAAGAAAGGATTCTTGTTTTCCAGTGTCATTATCTTTGCCATTAGCTCTCCAGGGTTCTTCACCAACTTCTTGACCAGTTGTTGGCCAACAGCGTACACATAGAAAAAAAAGGGGCAGCCACCCACAGAGTTGTTTCGCAGATACCAACAGCTTGCAGTTGAAAGGCAGTTCTTGAGCTACAGATGCAGCATTGGTAGCTAATAACCCCTGAAGGATTTTATTTCCTCTGAATTTGCTGCATTTTGAATCTGTAAACAGTTTTTCCAGTTTACACATTAGAAGAGATAACAATTCCTTTGGCAAATGGACTGTCTACGCGCTTATTTTCACTTCTCCTGAAGAAAAATATCCTATGTATATGACAGGCTTCAGGTAGGGCTGGTAAATTTTTTCAACTTACGTTGTTTTTTTGATGACAGATTCTGATTTATTAAACCAAAATTTTTCAGAAACAGAACCAGTTTTAATAAACCTGCTTTCTCTGGTCCTGGATGGAATTTTAGGGAGTGATGTTGAAGAAAGAACCCTTTGGTACCTTGGTAGATGAGAATTTCTGGGATGTGGAGGAACATAGTTTGTATCTGCTGTGTCAGGCAGCGTCAAGCTCCAGTGAACGTTGAGTTATTGACACAAAACGGAGTACCTTGGTGCAGAGGCATGGAATGAGAGAGGGGTAGTGCCTGACTCTTTTAACCTCATGGTTTAAGAATCACATCTGCATTATGAGTTCTTGATAATGCAGATACTTGAAACCAGATGTTTTTATACAGGGTTAATATCCCCACAGAAATTAACATGGAAGGGATCTCTTGTACTTGGAAATATTGTTGGTGTCAAATGGATTTGGGGGGACGAGAGGGGAAAACTCAAAGTTGTAAGCTGGAAAAAAAAATCCTGGCTACCTTTTGTTCCAGATTTAAGTGCTCTAATTTGTCTGCTCTTGGCCTGTGTTTGTTAGTGCTGTTATTGGCACTGTTGTCTGCTTCATGGTCACTAGTTAATTGCCAGCTCATAAATACACACTGAAGTGCGAATATATTGAATTCCTAACATTTTATCTGATCTGTTTAGCCTTTCAAAGCATTAGCACTGTTCCCTCCCAAAGATGGTTAACTAGCCACACATCCACAGCTTGTATGGTCTTTTTTTCTCCGATATTAAAACAGAGGTAGATTTTTTTAGCAACTGTTTTTTCTCATGCTAACACTGAATGCCTTCTTCCTTGCAGTAAAGCTGTGATGGATCTGTTGGTTGATTTATGCAGCCAATATCGCTTAAATCCATCCCAACATAGTCTTGAACTGAAGTCTTCGGGAACTCAACAACCTCTGAGTTACAAGCCGAACACTTTGATAGGAGCCCTGGATGTACAGAGGGTACTTCTGAAAGAGAAGGTTCCTGAAGAGAAGACAAAGCGACCTCTGCCAAGGGTCCCTGAGGTCAGTGGTCTGTAGGGCTAAAATGGTGCCATGAAACATCGTTTTGTTCCGACCATTTCAAGCAGTTCTTCCAATCTTTGCATCCTCAAACCAGATGCGAGAGGCTTGAGACTGACCGTGACCTGCTTTACTAGTTTAACTACTAGCAGGTGCCAGTCTGGACTCTAGCATTTAGACAAAGTGTAATGTTGCGTATGGTTGGATAGATGGGTATCTGTTCTCATAAAAACCTTTGATTGAAGACTGTGGTGACTGAAATTTGCAGTAGTGGTTGAAATGAGGGGTGTGGGGTTGTGTGGAGGTAGGTAGGGTTTTGGTGGTATTTTGTTCCTGTCATCTTTATTGAAGATACAGGGGAGGACGAATCGTTAATAAATGTATTCCACAGTATTGTGAAGATTGAGAAGTAGCCATTTTCCAAATAGGTTTGCTGAAATTTTTATTATTCTGAATCGGTATAGCTAATTACACTGTCACACATTTCAGAGTGTTACTGGTAAATATTCACAGATTATGACTGCCTCTGATACCTTTTTCCTTATTTGCCTGTTCTTGTGAATGTCTCCTTACTGACATTTTTTTTTTTTCATTTAATTTTTTTAAATAGTATTTTTTGCAGTAGTACACATGTGGGGTAAGTTCGCCTAGGGGGAGTCAAGAACAATGTAGATGTCCCCAATGCCTTTCTCATTGTAAGAGTGCCTAGCCCTCATGGAGGAAGGGCTGAGAGTTTCTGTTTGCCTCTGCAGAAATCTGTGAGGCTAGTGGTGAACTATCTGAAGACGCAGAAGACCGTGGTTCGAGTTAGTCCGGAGGTGCCTCTCCGCAACATCATCCCAGCTATTTGTGAGAAGTGTGAAGTCAGTCAAGAGCACGTTGTCCTTCTGCGAGACAGCATCACTGGGGAGGAGCTGGAGCTTACCAAGTCCTTGGAGGAGCTGGGGATAAAGGAGCTGTACGCCTGGGACAGAAAGAGAGGTGAGCTGAGACTGAAGGCAGTCACTGCGGGGTTAGATGCTGTGCCAACACTATTCTGGTTTGTTCAGCGAGCTGCGGCCAGCGCGACAGCCAGGACAGCAGCGTGCCCGGCTGTCCCTGGCTGCTCTCGGCCCCGGGCCAGGCTGGGCTGGCCCCTGGCAGGGCTGGGCTGCAGGAGGAGCTTTGCTATCTCCTGGAGCTGCCATCCGTACAGGTGTGTGCGACACAGGGCCTCGTCCGGGCAGAGCCTGTCGTCTGCCCATGCCGTGGGTTGGAGAGGGAGGAAGAGGAGGCGTGCCATAGTCATGGCAGCTGTGAAGGCTGAGAGGCAGAGGCGACAGAGCAGGGCTTGTGAGAAACAGGCTGTGGATAAGGTCAGAGGCAGCTCCTCCAAAGGGCAGAGTTATTGACGGTCTAGTGAAGAGGAGCTAAGAGGTATTTGTACTTAAAATTTTGTTCTCTTGTTTATTCACCCTCACTTTCTGTTCTCGTAGATGATATTGTAGCAGCAGCTTCCTGGCCTTGAGTTCTATCAGCCTGATTGTGTATTCAAATAGCATAATTATGCAATGTGCTTTAAAAGATATCTGTTTTAAAAGCACACATTGACAAGCGCTGCTTCCTTTGAGGTCAAAAAGGGATATTCATTAAAATTGTCTCCTGCAGCTTGTCTCAGCTGGTATCACTTCCAGCACGGTAAATGTCCTTATTTATTGTTTAGGTAAAGTCAGTCTTGTAGGTGCTGAGCAGCAGGCTTATTTTTTATTTATACAGTTATTTATTTATGTTGACGTTCTGTCTCTTCTTTCAAACTCCTTTGGTAAGTGACAGTTCTACCTCTGTGTGAGTCAAATTTCAGTGAGTTTAGACTTGTAAGTAAACTATATGTCTGCTTTTGCTTTGAGTTGTTAGGATGCTCAGAAAAAGTGTCTGACAACATGTCATAACTCAATTGCATGTTTGTTTGGTTTTTTAAGATATATTTACTGTAGTTAAGCTAACCATTTTGGAGCAAAATGTTGAACGTGCAGAGCATT